AATGCTGTACTCTCCAAAATCTCCCTATCGGCCAAAACCTATCGCACCGGCTGTGACGAGGAGAGATGGCCTTGTCCTTAGTGCTGAAACAGTTTCCGCTACTAGTATAACGTTAACTGGCTGTGTTTTTAACTCGTGACCGTCTGCTCGGGGAGCCGGGTGACTAACCACCCCACCACAACAGTGGATTGCATTTATTCATCTGATCATTTGATGCCTGATTTCTTAGGCCGGTTACGCACAGTATCAATCTCTTGCTGTTTTGTAATGTTCTTTTCTATGCGGAACTGATGACTTTATACACATGTAGCCATTATGAAAAGTACGCTCCTCCCACTTCTTCCCAGTTCATTTCATGTTTGGACATTGAGGTTAGGCCACACCAAGTAAATTTTATGGATGACGTCCGCGCGCGCATAGATTTTGGCCTGTTCCTAGAAAAAAAACAAGAAATTCGGCTTCCTGTAACTATGACCAAAGAGTCACGACAGTGCCCCAAATCGTTAGATTGACGTGAAACCCGTAACGCGAAATGGGTAAAGAGCACATGCTTTGTTTCTGCAGGCCTGCAAAAATGTGATAAAAGAAACAGGAGAGGACGACAACTGCTGTTCCACCTGATTTATTGCTGTTTTGATGATGAATAAAAGACTTCTTGCTTGTTAATCTGTGTCACCTCATTCAATTTGTGTCCTAACATTTGTCGTCTCTTAGTATATTTCTAATCTAGGAATCTTGTTTTTTAGGGCCCTTCTTGTTTTTTTCTCGCCCTCTCGCATTAGATATAGGGTCTCCAAAGGACGTCATCCATAAAATTTACTTGGTGTGGCCTTAACAAACCTTCATGAACTTGGACGTCAGAGCGATGACTGACGTTAGGTTGGTGTCATAGTATTTGGTCAGAATCTGCGGGTCCGAATGTTCCGACGCCTTCTTGGTCGCGTCACCTGTGGTTGCCGCGTTGTGGATCATCAAGGCGCTGTTGAAATCACCTAGAGACGTCAAACGTGAAGATAGTAAAATTTGTTTATGATGTGGATGGATGTCTGCAAAAACATGGCGTGACATGAAGAAAGAAGGAGAAAAAATATCACGCAAGAATTATTCAGGCTTCAGTTGCTGGAAACTAACATCTGAAGCTCGCCATCAAAACGTAGTGAATGATTTTGAGGAATATCGCTATCCTGGGCCCGCTATTCTGAGTCACTTCTTCCTTTTGCACAGCGGGATGTCACAGCGAACAGCTGTCTCAATATCGATGCCGACAATTGCTCAATCGCATAAGAGCCCAGCAAAACCACTGACATGCAAAAATAAATAAATGGTCCACAGGAAAGGCTACAGTAGTACCTTGCTTGGCGTCTGCAAAGATGTCGCAGAAGTGCGCGTGGTACGCGGTGGAGTCTTCCATGTCTCCCGTCACCAACTTCACCTCCAGCTCTTTCCGGCACTTCTCTTTCACCTGCCGTTTGGTCTCCTGTAGACCCTGGAGCGAGCGGCCGGTCAGAACCAGGCGGGAGCCGTGCCCCAGTCGCCCCGCCAGCAGCACGGCGATGCTCCGGCCCAGCCCCCGGCTCCCTCCCGTAACGGCACAGAACGTGGCCGGTCCAAACACAGCTGACGCCATGGTCAGAGACACATAAATAGAGTAGCGCTGCTAAATATAGGACCACGTAGAAGTCATGAGATTGTTGGTTCAGGCCCCACAAGGGGTGCTCCCCGGAAAGTATGGGCTGTCCGGGGGGTTTGTAATGCAGGCCATGCGTCCGTGTACATAAGGTCCTGACCTGTGCTGCGCGCTGGGTCGACCTAGCCTCATCATGATCAGAAGCAGGCTCCACAGCGGTTGTACACCGATACCAACATTGTAACGTCTCAGAACTCTTTGTTTGTTGTATGAAGTGAAATGTTGGCCTTATCCCGGTCTGGCCCTTGCAAGTTGAACAAAGATTCAACTAAGGTTCGACGAGCCCACACCTCCTTCCAAAATCATTTTCTCAGTAAGTTTGCATTTAATGTGCATATTTTGAACCTTTCATTATTCATTCGGCTACTCTTCACAGACATTCACGGAGAAGACTTTCTATGGAAACGTTCTCCGTCTTGGCGTCATCAAGTTTCTTTAGTTCCACCAGACGTGGTGACGACACACTCAAGTTTTTGCAACTTATATTAATGCCGCCACCAACACAGGGGACAAATACATGACAGGACAATACTCATTTACACCTGAGCTAAGTGAAGAAAGCCGTGTAAAGTGCCTTTCCCAAGGGCACAAGATCGGTGGCATGTCAGGACTCGAACTCGGGACTCTAAGTTCCGAGTCACGCACTCTGCCGCTACGCCACACGACCCCCCAAGTCCTTTGTTCCTTATATTATGAGGTACAACTCGCGCATGTCCGTATCAACTCTTCCTTTATCCTGTCGACAGAAGCCCAAATAAAACAACCTGACAGACAGGTCCCCGTTTCCACGGCAAGAGTCAACAAAGGCGGGCTAACAAACCAGGGGTCAGCCTTCTTCAAGGTGCTGGCATATCGGCGAGTTATATATGTAATACGTCCTGCGTTTAAACTTCTTTTAAAAATGGGGTGCGGAGCTAGCAGTCCTCCTCCAAAAGTGCCTGACACTTTCACTCCCTCTCAACAGGCAGAGAACGACCAGACCGTGGGTACGGCAGAACGTTTGGCGGGTTTGGACACGAGTCCCGTCCGGGAGGGAGGTTTGAAGACAACAGAGGTGAAGCCAGTGGAGCGGATCAGTATTCTGAACACAAGTCCTGATCCTGGCGACGAGGAAAAAGAGACGCTTCCTGCAGTGGATTTGGAAGAATCTTCGAAAAGTTTGAACACGTCCTCTAGCCCAGAGGAAAACTATGCGACACAAGGTATGGATTCCGTAAATGACCCGAGACCGAGAAATCTTAGCACGAATTCCACGTATCAGGAAAAACATGTGACTCCAACTGTAGGCGTGGAAAATGTAGGCGTGGAAAATGTATCGCATTTCAACATTTCGGACATGCATTATGACAAAATCATCGGTGTTGGGTCCTTCGGAACAGTCTACCTGTCCAGAAATAAGAGATCCGGAACCCACTTTGCTTTGAAACGGTTGAAAATGAAGGAAGTAATAGATTTGCAACAGGTAGAGCATGCCAACAACGAGCGATGGGTTTGGGCTGGTCTTCGTCATCCTTTCATATGCCGGCTTTTTGGCACTTCACGTGATGACAGATATCTATATCTACTCTTGGAGCTTGCTCATGGGGGAGAGCTGTTCTCCATGCTGAGGAAAGAGGGGAGGTTTTCCAACGATACAGCCACATTTTACGCCGGCGAAACAGCTCTCGCGCTAGACTATCTTCACAAAAATGACATAGTGTACAGAGGACTTAAACCGGAAGACATCCTGATCTCAAGAGATGGTCACGTCAAGTTAACCGACTTCGGGTTTGCCAAAGTTGTGTATTCCCATACCTACACGCTCTGTGGCACCCCGGAATATCTGGCTCCCGAAGTATTGCTGAACAAGGGTCACGGCAAACCAGTGGATTGGTGGTCGTTTGGAGTATTTGTGTTCGAAATGTTGGTGGGACAGCCGCCATTTTGTTCCGAGGACCCCATGGAAATATACCAGAGAATTTTATCGGGAAAAACGTTCTTTCCCAGCTATATCTCGTCTGATGCAAAACACTTGATCAAGGGACTGCTGCGCAACGACGTGACGAAGCGGATGTCCTCTTCTGCCGTCTTCTCTCACCCGTGGTTCAACACACTTGACTGGGACAGCCTCCTGGCTCAGAAAGTTCCACCTCCGTTTGTGCCCAGAATAACGCATGATGGTGACATCAATTGTTTTGAAACATATCCAGAGCCTTCCCATGGCTCCTCTACTCCTATCCAACAAAGCAGGATAGAGGCTAATTTCGCTGATTTTTAATGCAATGTAGGAGCTAGGATCATTTCTTCATGTTTTAGGGCACAGTTTTACTAACTGTACCCTACAGAGCACATATAGTTTAATAGTACATGTATTCAGTTAGATTCTATGATAAGACTGAAAACGTCGTAGAACAGAGAGACTGGATTTAGATTAGTACTTGAAAATTTGATCTAGTGTTGAACAGATCGTTCCCCGGACGAGAAAAGACATGGCTGCTGTGACAAGTAGGGTATTTATTAACAGAATGAACAAACAAGACTGAAATGTGAACAAATAGGTGATTAATGTAGATCTACTTTCAGCGACACTGTGGTATTGATTAGAACGCTCTATTTGAACCATACATAGGAATTAAATGGTGCTAACAGATGAAATACGCTCTGCTTTTTTTGAGTTTCTGATTTGTTCGACTCAGATCAGGTTACAGTCCGAAGACCCACAGAGTCTTACTCAGAAGTTAGGTTGATTCGTATGACGTATGTAAATGAGAAAGATAGGAACATCGATACAGATATTATGAAGGACAAAAAGTACCATATTACTATACCATAGCTCTTGGTAAATGACGGGAATGCCATACTTGCAGTAAAGGTGAACATATCAGCCATAAATCAGAGCCTCAGTCGAACGACAGACGAGGAAATGCTACTGTAGCCTTCCTTGCTCAACTGAGACTTTCGTACTTTTGACAGATTTTGTTATTTGGGTATAGAGGACCATTAACTGAAATAGTTTATGTACCTTATTTGCATAATCAACGAAAACATTTATAATAGTCACTCATTACTTGGCGAAGGTATGAGATCGTGGAACTCTGGTTGTCACTTTGCTTGCAGCGACTGCAGTACCTACACATACCGCATGGAAACCCACCGAAGAGTGCGCATATGCCGTCGTCTCCACCGACCCGAAAAAGATTTTTTACAAATCGGATGGCACCCTTACAAGTCGGATGGCACCCAGGATTACTGACTCCTTTCGTTGCTGAAAAACAGGACAAGGTGGAAAATTGAAATTTGCCAGATGAGTTATCCGGTTATATATTAACTATATACTGAAAGGCTGTGATCATTTAAACACTACGGAAACTAGATATGTCCAGAGAAAATGTATCATCAAGTGATCATCATTATTGCAAGTTAGTCATACCCACAAGAGTGTGCTTCCACCCAACACAGAAGCTATCAGTATCAAATATAAATGATGATCATATGGGAAGGGGGGGTGGGGGATTGTGAACAAGAACTAATATTTCAACAGGAAAAACGACCGCGGGATGTTTTTCCAGATTTTCATTTTTAAAGATTCACTGACCATGCACTTTCCCCTGAAACTTTAAGTGGCTGTTTATTCACCAAAACATTACGCTCTACAAAGTTCTTGTATACCACCTGCTCATTTCCAAATGAGCAGGTGGTATATGAAATGTGCCATTTTCCTTCTACGCGTCACAGTGCAGTAAATCAAACAAGTGCCAAATTTTCCATTTGTCTCGTGAAATTGTTCAGCAATAACTTAGACTGTATCTAGACTTTGCTGCCGCCATGTAATGTACCAAACGCCATCGTCTGCTTGCGACGTTCGTACGTCACACAGCACGTCATCCGGGATCCCCACTCGTCTTGAAGGAAGCGTTCAGTTGTCAATCATTTCATGCCTTTTATGACGGTTAAGGTGACACACGCTCAAGGTTCCTTCAGGGGAAAATTCCACGGATTGCAGATTTGGGCGAGGGCCAAGCCGGGGTCAGGCTAACGCTGGTCACGTGGTCCGTGTCAAACAGAGACTACGCCAGACTACGCCAACATACATACTACACTGTACAACCGTGCGGGCGATATCGCTCAACTAGGCGGAGCTTGATGAATAGGTCGGTTCGGGCGTAACCAAAACACACGGAGGGCCACTCGAACCCCACACGCCGGTCAGTCGTAGCGGCGTTGCTACAATATGGTAGACTTTGCGGATCAGATTCAGCGCACCGGGACACTGCTATCACGTCGCTAGAGATACCAGGTAAGGTGGGTACAGGTAAGGGGGGGAGCAGAGCTGTGCAAAGCGTCTGCTCGTGGACAAACGCGTGACGGTGGCGGTTTTATCTAAGCCATGCTCACAACGATAACAGTGCAGTGTGCACTGAGGGTTGCCTCAGTTCAGAGAAAACCTGTGAGTGCGGCCATGTTTGTGGTACGTGCATGGATATGTGCGCGTTATGTGAGAGGACAGAGGATCTATAAAAGGTAATTGTTAGTCCCTAGTTGTTCGCATGAATGGCGGGCGAGGCTGCGTGACTGCTCGACCCCATGGCACAGTGAGTGGGCCGCTAGCGGCCTTGGCCCCTTATCAGATAAACCGGGTGACGGAGGACCATTGAGAAGTAAACCGGCTCTCCGAAAACCACTCCTTACGCCTCTCAAGGCGATATATCAACTTGTAAAGCACCGTCTTCCAGCTCGACAGGTACACACTTACTGACAGCCTGTACATAACGCCAAGGCGGACTGGCAAACAGGGAGTAGGATTTCATAACTCGATGACTGCTACTTCGGCACCCCTTGGTAACGTTACTGCTTATCATTTGTCTTCCCGTGAATTGGCGCATCAAATCCTACTCCAGGGAGATAAAAATATCTATCATTATCACTCTAAGATCATTCATGATCTCCTTTCCTCATATGGAAGTAGACTATAAAAGGGTATATCTAACACTTTTTTTAATACTAACAGTCATGATTCCAAAGACTTCTGATACACGTCCTTATTACCTAGAAATAGATCACTTTCACAAAACCGTCTACGGAATGAATCATGTTTACATACGTCTGAGACTCCAAGCAAAACATTGTCTGTTACGGATTTGCAGCTGATTAGCAGGCCTGCCTTTAGCACGCTACAGCTTACATTTGCCGTGGAATTGTGTAACAAAGGATATGTACTAAGGTATAGATCGGAAGAAAGAAAACATTCCAAGCTTCAATACGATTAAATGTTGACTTTCCACGATTTGAAGTTGGAGTATTTGCGTATTGAATACAAACTTTGTCCAAATTCTTCTACCGTTGAACATTGCGGATAGGGAGGACAGCCCTGGGATTGAGTCATCACGATTAAACAAGGCTTACGTGTCTTAATTTACCTGTCGATGACCTAACCAACTTGTCTGTCACTCAATATGTGTCATGAGTCACTTAAGAACGTTGGAAAACAAAGACTCTTTCGCCCAGAGTGATATGGTAAGTGGGCATTTACCACAAGGGGTGTGTGGGCCGGGTAGGAAACAAACCCTTTGTTACCGAGGCTGGGTTGTTGTGAGTTTGTAACCACGGGATTTGTTCTGCAGCCTTTAGACAAACCGTGAAAAGTAGGGTGTCATGACTCCCAAAGATCTTTACTACGCCGATGTTCAGACGTTTTTAGGAAGGCTGGGCAGAAATGGGTCAGCCCCAATATTGTGACATACATGTAGCTTTTGCAAGCTTTGTCCAACTAGTGTTCGTCCCTTGGCATGCAATTCCGAAGCTCCATTGTTGTAGACAAAATATTTTAAAAGAGAGCATTGCATTGTAGCAACAAACAGCAAGGATATCAGGGGAAAACATGTGACAGCTACAGGCACTGACTACAGGTGAGATCTTGGATACTCCAGGTGTTGAGTTGTTAGTCGGCCTCGTTCCGGGTTTTGTATTCTATGGCTGTAGCAACAGGATAACAACTATTGATTTGTACTCTCATCCCCATGCGATCAAGTGCGTACATAAACTGAAACATTAGTGTAGCCATAATGAACCAGATCATCTGGTTATGTACCCTTTGTACACAGCGAGAAGTCTACTACAAGTTTTGTCATGTTGATCTCAATTGCTTAAATATTTCTCTGCATATTATTGCAAAAAACAACAACAAAAACTGGTCTATCTTTTAATCCATCGGCTCTCACGAAGTTGAAGACGACTCTGTCTATACCAGACATTGAAACAAAGGACTCATTATGGTACCGCGAATGGCGATGCTTTGGATAGAAACCAGGTGTCTATTGACTGTGGAAGGGCAATATCCAGTTACAAAACTTAAGTACTGCATCTTTTACAGAAGACAACTAGCCACCACCAACCATACGTGATAACTGCGCGAGCCTCTTGCCATGCCACAGAGCCGCGGCCAAGATCAAACCTAACGCTAAACCAAGGCCCTGCTCCATACGTCCATATGCAGCACCTGTGATACAGTCGTACAACGCTTCTACGACATGCAGCAGATTGTAACCATTCTGGAATAATCGTGGATGTCTCGTACAAAATTAAGTTGTCTTGCTGGCGGAAAAGGTTGTTGGGGATTCCTCACTCAACAGTCAGTTCAGTAGCCTCCCTGAACCGTACGATAAGCATGTACTAGCGTGACTGAGCTTAAGAGAATCAATGATAAATGTATAATTCTTTTTCTTTATGTTTCTGTTATCTGATTTCAATATGTACCGATTAGAACAAGTTGTTGAAAAGATAAAGTTTAGTGCTATTGCAGTGTCAACAAGGTTCTTCATAATCTCGCCGTGACGTCACTATATTTCTACAGACCGGCCGTGCCGTGCAGCAGTCAATCATTGCCTGACGACAGGGTTCGTGACGACCAGTCCCGACCCGTAACCATTGCGTCATTGCCTTCCCGGCTTCCCTCGCGACCCATAAGGGGGAGGGGTGCGCTGACCAGACTTGGCCCGCTCCGGCAGGTCACTGAACTCCAGTCGTCCTTTCTTATCACCACGAACTACACGTGAGCGTCGCATTTACACGTCCCTCTGGAAAAATCCCCTGAAGGTACTATGTACAGTATTGTATTCCTCAAGAAAAAATGCTTCTTATTTTGTGCATTTCTGGGAATACGAAAGGTTTGTAATTACATGTACTCAGTGTTATTATGTCTCTGTGTATATCCCCAGGTTGGGTGATACATACGGTCACCACAGAAGCTAGGGCGTCACATCGATCGACATATACTGTATTGCTCATACTACTAATTTTCTGAAGAACCAGTCCGGCCGTCAGACCGCTTCATAAAATACACCGTGAGTACAACTTATACTGCACCACTACCTTCTCATGGCTACTTCCGGGATAAGGGCTTTGCTCGTGTTGTCATAATTTATCAGAGCACGTGTATATATATCATGTACGGAACACAGTTTTATCACATCAACACAAAGCAGGTAAAAACATGAACCGAATAAAATGTGCTGTGGATTTACCCCTAAATCCTGTTGGCGAGGTTGACTTAGGGAAAGCCGGGCTGTCGTACACACTGTTGTGAACGGAAGATACAAAACTGACACATCCTGGTCGCGAAACCGTAAATTTGTCAGTTTTCATGCTGTTCTGGTGAGATTTACG